CAGATAGTCTGACAGTTTATCGAAGCGACATCTTTTATCTCCGTACGTCGGAAATTATGTTTCACATTTTATTCATGTTTTTGGACACAGTTTCCTAATAGCTGGTGAAGATTCTCAGTCATCCAGGTCATAGTCGTTCCCAGAAAAGTTTAAAATCAATCCACTGGACTTTATTTCCAAGTTCGAAGACGTTTCTCTTCCATCCAGGAAACTTTTTCAATCCAAAATGTCAGAAATAGCGTTTAGTTCCAGGCTTTAAACAGCAAACCAACAGTAAAACCTGGAACTCAACACTATTTCTGACATTTTGAATTTAAAAAGCTTCCTGGATGGGAAGAGAAATGTCTTCAAACTTCGAAACAATGTCCAGTGGATTGTTTTTGAACATTTTTAAAACAGTTTCCTAATAGGTTCCTGTTTTTTTATATCTTATACATGATTTTTATAATGAATAATAAAATGTATTTATTTATTCAGACATAAATAGCTCATATAAACGAGGAAGTCTTTAAAATTCAGCATATTGAAACGAGAAAACTGAGGTTTTTAAATAAAATTGCAGGTCGTCAGTTAATTATTTATCCATCGATAAGATCAATCAACTTTAGATTCATTCATTATTCAATTACTTGCGTCCCTAATAGGTGTATTGATCTTTTTTCTGTCGTTTTCTTCCGTTGATCTAAATTTTATTTTGCTATTTGAAAATAATTCCTACTGAGAATAAAAGACATAATAACGTTTTTAGACTTTTCAAAATCAATAAGGGTCTGAAGCCTTTAAACATGTTTAGTTTTTCTATCCTTGGCAGCATGTTATGACTCCTAAACCCTCAGTGTTGTCTGACAGGTTATCCTATGGAGCCTTGGAGAAGTAATTAACCATTAATGGCAATAATGAACATTAAATGATCAATAAAAGCTTCTCTAGGTGACTATCATCTCTGTATAGAATGATCAGGGTGTTTCTGCAACTTTAACAGACATGACATGAGTTTAGGTTTCCTGTGAACCTCAATCAGAATGTCTGGTTGTGACAGATGGGTTACAAACCTTTTCTTTGGAGAAAAAAACTCTGTTTCAGGCTGAAAACATAGAAACATATTTGTTACTGAGTAAAAACTCTTATTGCATCAAATTCTGCCCTTTTAGCCCTTTTCTTCTGCTTTTTCCAACTTTGAGCCCAGAGTTATTTCCACTTATGGAGCCTTAGACGTGTTTTTCTCTCTGACTCCTGGCAGCTAACTGTCAGCTTCATCTCTGCAGAAAGGTTACGGCTACAGGGGGACAAAGTTTCACAGGGTCATCAAGGACTTTATGATCCAAGGAGGAGATTTCACAGCTGGAGACGGAACCGGAGGTAAGGAAAAAAATAGTGCAGGAATCCTGAAAAAACCCCAAATAAAATCCAACTGTTGATTAATATAATTGGATAAAAATGGGATCATCTTTTACACACTTTGGCTTTGGAAATTTAAAAATGTAAACCTTTGCTCCTCTGCCTGTGGAGCTGGTTGACAGCTGCTTTTTGTATCTATGCTTCTTTTTCTATGTCTGCTTCTGTCTCCTTGAACCCCAGTGGGCCTCAGCAGATGGCCGCTCACACTGAGCCTGGTTCTGCTGGAGGTTTCTTCTTGTTCAAAGGGAGTTTTTCCTCTCCACTGTCGCTACAAGCATGCTTAGTGTGAGGGATTGCTGAAGAGATAGGAAACTTTGAATGACTGTATGATCTGGTTGAATTGTGAGATGCCTTGAGATGACTGGAAAAAAATTTAATCTCATAAGTCGTTTTTTCTTAAAATAAATGCATTTTTTCCTCAACTTAAGAGGTAAGTGTGAATGTTTGCCGATGGAAAAAGGCAATTTATGTTTAAAATAAGAAAAAAACAATTGCATTTTCTTATTTCAAGTTCATATTATCTAATTATCTTATCTTAAGAGTAGAAATACTCGTTTTATTGGCAAATCATCTCATTTATCTACTCAAATTATGGGTTAATACACTTAATTTTAGAAATCTAGATAATTTTTTGCAGTGTATAAACTGAATTTAATTGAATCCTCATGTCCGGCCTCTGTCTCTGTCCAGGTCACAGCATCTATGGGACGACGTTTGCAGATGAAAACTTCAAACTGAAGCACATAGGAGCCAGCTGGGTAAGCAGCCATCAAGCTGGAGGAAAATGTTTCTGGAGGAGTTTTGATTTGTTTCTGTTCACATATTTACCTCTAACACCTGGATAACGTGTGTGTTGGTACCAGGTGAGTATGGCCAACGCTGGGCCGGACACCAACGGGTCGCAGTTCTTCATCCTGTCCACCAAAGCGCCGTGGCTGGATGGGAAACACGTGGTCTTCGGCAAAGTTCTGGACGGGATGGTGGGTTGAACCTGCTGTCTGTGACAACAGACTGGAAAAACTATCTAGAAATAAGTAAACATTTCTTAAATTAAGTGTATTTATTGTTCATTTGAGTATGTAAATGAAATAGTTTGCCAATGGAATGGAGTATTTTTACTCTTAAAAGAAGATAATTAGATAAAAATGCACTTGAAATAAGACAATATAATATTATTTTCTTATTTTAAGTGTAAATTGTTGGAAAAATTCACTTATTTTAAGAAAAGAATGACTTATATATCTATATTATCATGAGGACCGATGAGCTGATCAGAAAAAACAAAGAACAAAACAAAATGAGGCTTTATGTGTTGAAATTAATCAAACAAGGAAGGAAGTTCCATAAATGTTGGAAAATAAATCTAGTTTTTATTTTATTTTTTCTAACTGTTGGTTTGCTTTCTGTCTGCGTTTGAGTGGAAGTCTCTAACCTGCAGGTGTTTGTCTGTGGGCAGGCCGTGGTTCACACCATCGAGCTGCAGGACACCAACGACAGAAACCTGCCGTACACCGAGTGCGTCATCGTGAACAGCGGCAGGATCCCGGTGAAGGAGCCCTTCGTGGTGGAGGTGGACGGCTGGTAGACGTCGTCTCCTGGAGGACAAACACTGAAAACACTTTAGCAGCAGGAAGTCCTGTTTCAAGCCGTGCCAACTTCATATCTTTCCTTTAGTTTGCTTAAATGAACAGAATATCGGTTTAATGTTTAACAGGATATTTTCGTTTTTTTCTTATTTTTCCAGCTTTTGAGCCGAACTACTAAAACTGAAAAGACTCAAAGTACGGAGGGAATGTTGTCCCATTATTGTTGCAAAGTAAAGAAGCTGCTTTATAAAAGGAAAAATTTCATAATCAAAAGAGTTGGACGGTAACTTTTATTCTTTGTTTTGGTTTTCATGTTTTATTATTTAAAAAAAAAAAAAACATTTCAAACTTTTTTTTTTTTACAGGTTTTACATTTTAAAATTTTACTTTTGGAAAATTGCATTTTAAAAAGAACGAAATTCATAAAAACTCAATCTGAAAAAGAGAGATTTTAAAAGTAGAAAATAAATCATCTGTAAAAACAAAATTAAAGAAGATAAAATGTAAATAAAAAAAATAAATCTATGCAAACAGTTAAGACCTTTTTTAACTATGACATTTTTCAAGTTTCATTTCATTTTTTTCTAAAAATTTCCTTTACAAAATGCATTTTTGGTTGCAACAATAATGATCCAACAGTCATTTCATATGTGAATAAGTCCGTCTATCTTGAAATAAGTGTAATTTTCCCCTGGTTGTAGCAGGTAGGTAAGACAATAAAAAAAAAACATCTAAATTCAAGTATATCATTTATAATTATGTATGGGAGAATTATCCTGCCATAATGCAAGAGCACATCATTTGTGCGCGAAGAGAAGGAGGCAAGCGAGAGGAGAAAATATCTGT